GCACGCACGCACATGCAGGCTCACAGACCCGCACACGCACGCACGCACATGCAGGCTCACAGACCTGCACACACACATTTGGCCGGCAGGCATCCTCCTGCTCCTATGTGCGGAGTCTCTCTGGGAGACCATGGCAGGCCTAGTGTCCCAAGTGGGGCCTGGGTAGCAAATGGAGAAACAGGAAAGGAAGGAATAGAGGGAGCCTCCAAAAATACATACGCTCTTTCAGACCCTGACCCCCAGAACATTCACAATCATCTCCTCCTTCTCTGGTAGGACCCAAGAAGCCAGGTCACTGCCTTCACACACACACACCTCACTCCCCCTGGGAGTCCCGGGGGCCATACCGCTTTGCTCTATGTACGACTATCACTATAAAACAGTTCCAACAAGTGATGCCAAGCTGTCGCTCCCCACCATGCCACATCCACCACATTCTTTTCCAGTCTGGGAGCCACAGGCATTTGTGCCAACCGGAGAGGTGAGCAGGAGGGAACAGAACAGCCCAGCAGGCTCAGCACAGCGGGGACCCTCAGACCCCCTCGTGTCAAACCAGCTCCTTACAGAGCTCCATCTACCAACAATGTGGACACATGGATGAGACACGTGGACATGCACACAGGCACACAAGCACACACACGGACACACTTTTCCCCAGCCCACTGGGAGCTCCACTTAAGCAGGTTAACACTGGACTAAGAAGAAAATGGGGACGAAAGCCCATGGGACCGAGGCAGAGGCAGCTTGCTTCCTAGAACGTTTATTGGAGCCTTGGTTAAGCGTGAATGCGGGTTAGGGGCCCCACCAGGGCCCAGCCAGCCTGACTGGAGCAGGGCGCTGGGGGGCAATGTCCTTTTTCCCCGGTATAGACAACAGTATTAAAAAAAATAAACTTTACAATAATACATTTTCGCTCATCTGTTGGGTATGATTTCCATAGTTTTGTTGTTTAAAAAAAGGAAAGAAAGGGGAAACCACACGATATATGTATATGGATGTGTATATACATATATGTTAGGAGAGGCGCCCCGGTGCGTACGTACAGCTGACGTGTATCTAGGAAATTAGGAAAGAGAACGTGGAGAGGATGAGGAGGGAGAAGAGAGCAGGAGAGCTCGAGGACCAGGTGCTACAGACACACGCCCGGCTGTGGTCTCTCCTCTTCCTCTCTCCAAAGGGAGACCTGCCAAAAGGACCCACGAAAAACCAAAAAAAGCCACCAAAGGATCATTTCTTTCTGACTTCAAAATTTCTGCCACTGAGAAAGAAGCTGGTGCCCAAGTTTTGCTGCCTCCCCACGAGGGGCTCTCCCAGGCAGGCTGAGCTCCCAAGTCCTCCTGGAGCTGGTCCCCAGCCCCACCACTTCAGGCTACAGTCAGGGGGAGCCCAGCACAGGGCTAACCCCCTCCACCGGCATCCGTGGGGGGTTCCCACACCAGCTGCAGACCCACCAGCTGCACCCAAGGGCAGAGACGGAGGGCAGAACCATCTCCATCCTTGAAGCCCAGGGGCTGAAGGTGGACCCCCATGGCCAACTCTGCTGCCCCACTGACCAATGCCCTCTGCCAGCCCCCAGCAGGTCCCCAGAATAGACAGCTTGGGGAAGCAGCTGTGTGGTCCTGCCCCCAGCCAGCCTCGGGCATAGCCCCGAGTCCCTTCCACTGCAGGGCGCTTGTCCGGGTCTCTGCTTCAGAAGGGTCCAGAGAGAAAAACACCAGGAGAAAGTGAAGGGCATTTCTAGAGCGTCGTGCCCTCTTCAGCACCAGGGTGTCCCCAGCCAGGGGACCCCTGTGCCAGCTCTACGGCTGCCCGCCTGCTTGTCTGTTTGGTTTAGAAAAACTTCTCCAGAGAAGAAACCTGGGAGGAGACAGGTTCAGCAACAAGGTGGGAAAAACAATTTTTTTTTGCAAGGTGTGTGTATGTCTGTGTGTGTTTCCATTTCATCAGGCAGGTGTTCTTGTCTGCGTAGCTTTAGAAAATCTTCCAACTCAGTTCCCAGGGCCTACAAGGCCAGTTTCAGCATCAGGACAGACAGCACGGTCAAGGCAGCCGACGGTCTGGCTCTGCTGGGGCCTGAGTTAGGTTTGATTACCTTGTTACTCCCTGGGATGATATTTGTCGTGAGCTGAGTTCAAGGAGGAGAGTCAGGAACAGAGAGAGTGAAAACAGAGAAAACAGGAGGCCTGGATCAGGTAGAGAAACGGACTCAGGAACTGTAGACCTCAAGCCCCCGCCCCCTCTTACACCCACAGGGACCCTTCTTTGCACTCTGAAGGCAGTGCTGACTCTCCCGGGGAGCTGGCCCAGGCAGGAGCAACAAGGCAATGCTCTGTCCCTTCTTGTCACAAGCCCTGGGGTTTGGAGAAGACGGCAGCGGTCCCCAGGAAAACAGGCTGCTCCTCCCTGCATCCCAGTGAGGAGGGAGATGGTATAAAGAGCTCCCGGAGAAGGAGCTCCCAGGCTCCACAGGGATCTTCTTCTGGAGAGGAGATGGAGACCACATTCTCCCTGTTCCTAAATTTCTTCAAATCACTCCTCCTCCATGAAGCCCTCCCTGAACATATTTGTCTGAGTTTCTCTCTCTTCCTTCTGCAAGGTCTCACAATGACTTTTCTTCCCATCTAAGTTACTATCTTGGGTCTGTAAGTCATATATATTCCTATGCTGGGAGTTTCTTCAAGGAAAGAACTGGGTCTGTTTCCACCGCTGTGCCTCCTGAATATGTCACAGGAACAGTGCTGAGCCGGTAGTCGACACAACTGTCTTAAAGAGTAAGGAAGGTACGGGAGGGCCTCTGCTCAGAGCCGCCATTTGTCTCTCCCCAAGGATATGGCCTTTGCACTCCCTCACCCCCACCCCAGCAGAGTAAGTGTCCACCCAGGTCCAGAAGCTAAGCTGGCCCAGCCCATGCAGTGAGATTTGAGGGTGCTGGATCTGAGGCTTGCCAGGGAAATGCCCCCCGACCCCGGCCCAGCCCTCTGAACCCACCCACACTCTGCCCCCAGCTCACCTCTGTGAAGCACATGCTTAACTCTTTGGAGTTGTTGGCCTTCAGCCCCTGCTCCTGCAAGAGAGAAGGCACCAGTCAGGGCAAGTCACCAGGCATTTCCTGGCTGGGCTTTGTCTAGCGACTTAGATGAGGCCCTGCCACGCACTGCTGGCTTTGCCAAGCACAGCGTATCCAGTGAAGAGGGGTGGCTCAATTCCACATAGCACAAAATGCTTCTGTCCCTCTCTGACACCCTCAGCAACTAGGTCCTGACTCCTCTAGCTCCTGGAGAACAGAGTTCTGAAGGTCTCAACTAGCGGCATTATATAGTCATCAGCCATTTGCACGTCTGTCTGCATATTCAGAGCAACTCTTAGGAACCGTGTCTTCTTTTCCTTGCACTGAGCAGTGTCTGGTTCATAATAACTCAAATATTTCATTCACTAGATGCCTGTATCTATGAATGAATGAGTGAATGAATGAATGAATGAATGCTACAGATCACAAAGCCTCCAAGAGCCAACTCCTGTTAAGTTGACATGGCTGATGGAGGGCTCTACAGAAAAAGATCATGAGTGCTCATCTGGCCTTGAGAGAAAGAGAAGCGTGATTGATTAGTGATGTCTGCCACTGGTACCCATTAGGTGGATATCTGGCAATTGCATCAGGCCATTTCTGTCCTAAATGGATGTGCACACCTGGAAGCACTGTGGACAAGGTGAGGGACAAGAAAGGCTGGCTTGGTGATGATTCCAGGACTCTCTACCCTGACGTGGCCACCTGGATGCAGGGCCAGAGGGTGTGCATGATGAACAGTCCTGTGCTATCATCACTGTAATGGAGAAGCATGGGAACCAGCTGGGGATGCAGCACTTCCAACCAGGCTTCAAATGGCTTGTTCCCAAGGCACTTTCAGGGAAGCTCTGGCCACCAGAAACAACTAGGAAGCCCAAGAGCTTATGCCGAAATCACTGCTGTTGGCCAGGAGTATCAATAACCCCTTGGACATCACAGGCAATCTACCACCCAGGGCATCTGGTCAGCTAAACAAGACCCCAGCTGCGCGGAGACCCCAGCCAAGAGTCGAGTCCCTGCCAATGGTGGAGATGAGACCACAGTGATGATTAGCACAGCAGAATCGAACCTGGAATGTCCCCAGGTGCCAAGGCAGCACCCGGCCACCTCCCCAGCTGTTGCCCACTGCAGAAGGGGATGTGCTCTACAGCATCTTCCAGACCCAAGGCCTGGACTCTACTATCCAGGGCTTGGTGCTTCTCCAGCTAAGACTGTGTGAGGCCACAGGGTTGAGTAGGGGGGAAACGGAGCATGCCCACCCCCCAGAGGCTGTGCTGCCATCATGGTGTCTCATCTATCCTCCCGCACACCTTGGCCGATCTTTGCTCAGTCACCTCAGTCCCCACCTGTGACATCCTATGGCCCGCTGGGGTCTATGAGTGTGGCCCAGCACCTACGGACACGCAGCATCCCTTCCTACTCTCACTGTTTTGGGCGTGGCAGGCCAGGCCCTGCCTGCCCTTTTTGGGAGTCCCTGTCTTATCCCTGTATCCCCCCACCACAGGGCTCACTAAACACGGAGCCCATGTGGAATCACAGAGCCGAAGCCTCCTGAACTCAAGGTCCTCACCCCCCGTCCACCAAAGCAACTCCACCAAACAAATAAAAACAAATGTTTATTTGTTTTGTATATTGTGGTTATGCATAAAATTGTTTGGAAAATGGTCTACTGCTGAACGAAATAAGGCTTGCGAAAACAAACAAGAAGGGCCCGGGGAGGTGGGGGGCCCGATACAATATGCTGTGGCTATACTGCTCTCAGGGGAGCCCTGGACCTAGACACTCTGCAGCGTCACACCCAAGGTCAGCCCATGCAGAGCTTTTGGCGAAGCACCCAGCACCCTGAGCACGGCATCTTGCCTGGTCTGCAGGTTCGACCAGGTGTAAAGAGAGAGTATCTGAAAGCCGAGCTCTCTGGAGCAAAGGGGGCCTGCAACTGGGTTTTGCTACTTGGAGTGAACAGAACTTGACAGGTTCCTCTTAATGAGGATAGAGGGGAGGGGATGCTGGCAAGTATTACACAGTGAAAATGACAGGGAAGAGGAGAGTGAGGGAAGGGGTGGAAGAAAGATAGGAGACCAGGTAAAGGGAGAAGGGGAGAAAGGGAAACAGGAAAGAGGGGGTGGGGAGCGGACAGAGGAGGGGGGAGGGGACAGGCAGAGAGGGTGAGGGGACAGAGGAAAGGGGAGGGGAGGGGACAGGGGAGAGAGGGAGGGGACAGAGGAGAGGGGGAAGGGAGGACATGAGAAGGGGATGAAGCCGAGAGGGGAAAATAGCAAGAGAGGAAGGGACAGGAACAGAGGACAGAGGGAAGAAACGGAGGAAGGAGGCAACAGAGGACAGGGGAGAGAACCAAATGGGACATGAGGGGCCTGAGAATGACCCCCGTACCCTCTCATCTGATGCTGATTATCAGGGGACAGCAAAACACCTCCCAGGCCCAGCCCCAAGAGATGTCTCACCCAAAGTGGGGTCTCAGCCAGAGGCAATAGGGCCCTTGGCTGGGACACAGGAACTGGCCTCTGTGAAGATCAGGGATGTGACCCTCCCCACCACAGAGCCATCACCCACATCTAAGTCCTTTTGAGCCCGTTGGCAGTTCAGCCGGGCAGGCCTCGAGGGCGGACAGCCATAGCCACTTGATGCAGGTACCTAACAGGCTGCCCTGAGCTGTTCCTTCAGGTGCTCAGAATTGGTTTTCAGGTGTTTGACCACATGGACCCCTCCCAGTCTTTGATTATTTTTAGACTGAAGGGTCCTAATCCTTGCTGTCTATCATCACAGGACACCTCCTGGTCTGAGGTGGCCTAAAAATGGAACAAAGCCAGAGAGGCCAAAGAGGCCAGAGCCCTGGGCTCAAGTCTTGGTTCTGCCAATGACCCAGGGTGACTCCACTGAAGCCTCAGTTTCCTCATCTGTAAAATGGGGTAGACAATGGACCTAAGTGACTGTGACTGCTATGTGTGACCCTGCACATGGCACAGCCACACTCAACACAAATCCAAGGACTCAGTGCTGATCCCACAAGGGATGAAGCTGCACCACGATGAGTTCCCCATCCTAAAGCAGAGCCTGGGAGAGAGGCAGTGAAGGGTGGGGAAGGGGCTGCAGGCTGAAACCCAGGGTCAGCGGGTGGCCTGGGCCAGCCTCCGGCTCTCTCCCAGCCTCCTCCAGCCATCTTTGCAAAGTACAAGAAGTCTCTACCCCAGATGGACACATCCATTTCATTTCCAGAAAACACAGTGACCAGAAGGTCACAGTGACCTCCTCTGATGGCCAACCTGAGGCCCTTTGCCCAGTCCTGGGCACACGGAATCCTGCCTGGGGGGTTAGGGGGAGTGTTGCCCAGCAGCTGACCTTTTCTACAAGTGGCACCTTGTTAGGAATAGAGCTTGGAGTCAAAAGGGAAAACGAGCATTCAGACAATGGATTTCTCGGCAAAGCAAATTCACTTCTGCGCAAAAGGGTACCTCTCATAGGGCTGGTAGCCATGAGAGCACCCTGAACAAAGGAGAGTAGAAGCTTTTATTCCTAACTCGACTTCTACTTTTGTGTCCTTTCCAGATTGGCTGGGGTCCGCCCGCACAATCTAAACTAGGCCTGATTGGCTAAACATTTAAACTTTCTTAGATAAGGTGGATATATGATGGGAGAGAGGGGAAAGAAGGAAGGGGTCATCTGTGGCAAACTAGAGAGCCAGTCCTTTCCCAAATAAGGAAAGGAAAGAGAGCTGGTGCTGTGGCATGCCTGGGCATGTAGTAAAATTAAAAAAAAAAAAAAAGAAGAAGAAAGTGGAAGTGGGGGTACTCGGAATTAAAGAATAAAAGATTGAGCAGACTGTGAGACCTTGCCATATCTCACACACCTGGTGGGGGGAGGGGCAGAGATAAAGAGAGTCCACCTCTGATGCCAAAACCACCAGTGGCTCAAATTCAGTGCCTCCCTGCCCTCCAGGGGCTTATAAGATAGAGAAACTCTCACATATCCACCGAAATCTCATCTTGAATTGTAGCTCCTGTAATTCCCAAGTGTCATGGGAGGGACCCAGTGGGAGATAACTGAATCACAGGGCAGGTGTTTCCTGTGCTGTGCTGTTCTTGTGGTAGTGAATGAGTCTCATGAGATCTGATGGTTTTACAGATGGGGGTCCCCTGCACATGCTCTCTTCTTTATCAGTTTCACTATGTAAGACATCCCAAAAGCTCTTCATCTTCTGCCATGATTGTGAGGCCTCCCCTGCCATGTGGAACTGTGAGTCCATTAAACCTCTTTCCTTTATGAATTACCCAGTCTCAGGTATGTCTTTATTAGCAGCGTGAGGACAGACGAATACAACTGCCTTCACAGCCGATAAATATACAGAGGGGAGAGAAGGCTGCCTGTGAGTCTAAAGAAACAGCCTGGGGCTTACTCCATCCCTACCAGGAGCCTCTCATCTCCTGGAGGCGTCTGTGGCTCAAGTCCCAAAGTGCCCAGGCCTAGGCTGCAAGGATCGCAGGACACAGGGCTGCTAACAGCAAATCGGTGGCCTGTTACCATGGAGGCAGCACCAGGACTCTGTGGGAAGAGCTGACCCCTGAGAGCTGTGCTGTGGGTGCCACTGGAAGCAAGAAAGAAGTGGCCCTTGCAGGTGGCACTGGGGGAAGGACACAGAGAGGAATGACAGTGGAAAAGGCATGCTTCATCCTCATAGAGCTTTCTCCCACTTCTGTTGCCCAGGAAGTCAGAAGGAAATTATTGCCTTCCTCCTCTTCCTTGCCCACCTCCTCCCTATCCCCGAACACCAGGCCGAGACTGCAAGAGCCTTGCTGGTGTGGCCGAGGCGCTAGTCCAGTCTTGTCCTGCTGGCTGGAGCCATGGCTCTCCTGTGCTCCCTGCTTCTGTCCCTGGTCCTGCCCCTAAATCCCAGTGCCCCTGGCCTTCCTCCGAGACCTAGATGAATCATCCCCAGTAACTCACACCTCTCACTACTTACCCTGCCACCACCCCGCTCCATACCTCCGTTCTTCCCTCCCACTATGGCTAAGATCTCCTAACAGGTCTTCCTGTCTCTCCCTTGCTAACCACTCTCTACCGGCCAACAGATTCATCTTCCCAAACCATGGTTCTGGTCATGACTCACACTCCCCTGTTCCAAAGCCTTCAGTGGCCTCTCAACTCCACCTCCACCTGTGGCTCACAGGGCATGTCCCCCATCCATGTAAGTCTCTGTGTCCCCAGAAAGCCCACAGGCAGGCCTGCGTTTCCCCAGGGTGGGTTGGCAAAGGCTTTCTGTAAAGGGCTGGAGAACAATGATTTTCGGCTTTGCCAGCCACATTGTCTCCATCACAATGACTCAATGCTGCCTGTGACAGGGAGACAATACAGACACACAGGGTGTAGTTGTGTTCCAGTAAAACCTCATTTGTAAAACCAGGCACAGAAGACCCCCACACTCAGCACTACGCGCTGTCCTGACTCTGCCTCGGCTCTACTGTTCATTCACCTGGAGCAGCCCGCCCACTCCAAGCCCACATCCACTCTCCAGATTCTTTTAGGCCTAGCGGCAGGCATTGTTACACCCCGGGATCTTTGGCTTCCACTCCCAGTCAATGCACTCCCTCGGTCCTCTGGACCCCATCACCCTCTGCCAGTCCTGCATGCAGCAGGTGCACCAATCACCTTCTCCCTCATAGCCATCTGAGCAGCATCCTGTCCAGCCTCCATCACCGGGACCAGGGTCCTAGCCTGTAAACCTTGTTAGCCTCAGTGCCCGGGATACAATGGCGCAAAGTAAGAATTTCTGTTGAGTCAATGAATGAATTGGTCTCTGAAACACAGACACCATGCTCCAGGGGAATAGAAAGTTCCAATGAATCAAATGAACTGGGGACTCCAGGGTCTCTCCTTCCACCTGAACAGAGCACCCACTCCATGCCAGGCACTGTGCATCCAGCTACGCAGGGTGACACTGGAGGGTGAAGTGCCACTCTGGCCTCTGGGGACCCTGGCCTAGCAGGGGAGAGAACACATCATGAGGGGCCAAGAACAAGCACAGCGGGAGCCCAGAAGAGGCAGAAGGTAGCCTGGTGCGGATGCAATCGGGGAAGGCATTCCCAAAATGAGCTGGGTAGGACTCACCAGGCGGAGAGGGGTGGGAGAGGGCAGGGAGAGGTCTTTTCCTCAGAGGAATGGCCAAGCGCAGGCCAGCAGCTGGCTCACCCATCCTGCAGGTGTCCAAGACTGACCTTACACTCAGGTTCCCTGCTCTAGAGGCCAATGGGATGGATAGACGGGCAAGGGAATTCAGACAAGGTATGTATCTGATATACATGGGCTAGGACAGAAGTCCCCAGGAGAGGCCTTTCTGCAGACCCCACCCGGCCTCTCCAAAGTCCACAGAGCCCCAGGCAGGCAGGGCTGCCTGGAGAGGCAGCCATAGCCTGAAGAAGACACTTAGAAGAGCAGGACCCAAGACACCCAGCCACAGGGCCAACGCAGAGGGCCCAGCTCCTGGCTCTGCTTTGGTGGTACCCAAGACTCCCACAGCCCCACTCAGTAGCCCCACTCCCACCACAGGAAAGTCTTTTGTGGGGAGTCTGGAGGAGGAGGAAACAGAAGGTGGCCAAGGGGCAGGGTTCCTGGCCCTTCTCAACTGCCAACTGGCTGTGGGGCTGTGGACAGGCGGCTGTCCTCACCAGGCCTCTGTCACTTGAGTTAAGGAAGATGTTGGAGGGTCCTTCGAGCCCTGACATACAGATATCCATGTTGGGACCCAACTGGCTATGCTATCATCTCTGCGGGTCCCTAAGCCTTGCCCCAAGGAAGAAGGAAAGACGGAGGAGGACAGAGGTGAGTAAAATAATCTTGCCTCTCTTTTTTTGTTTTTTTGTTTTTTGTTTTAAGACAGAGTCTCGCTCTGTCACCAGGCTGGAGTGCAGTAACGCACTCTTGGCTCACTGCAGCCTCTGCCTCCTAGGTTCAAGTGACGCTCCTGTCTCGGCCTCTTCAGTAACTGGGACTACAGGCACATGCCACCACATCCGGCTAATTTTTGTATTTTATTTAGTAGAGACGGGGTTTAACCAAGTTGGCCTGGATGGTCTTGATCTCCTGTGATCCGCCCACCTCAGCTTCCCAAAGTGCTGGGATGACAGGTGTGAGCCACCGCAGCCGGTCGATCTTGCCTGTGTCTCCAAGGTGTATCTGGGGTGTACAGGCTCCCCCTACCCTCCCTCCCACCCAGGCTCAGCTTTCTGTCCCTGCGATCACTCAGGGACTCCCTTCTATAGCTATAGGTGTCCCTAACACCCAAGGGGCCCACAAGGGCCACGACAGAGCCACTCAATCAGAGATGGTCCAAGCTAGGGGAGCTGAGACAGGAGACAGATATGGGCTGGAGAGGAGGGGAGGCACCCACACCAGCGCCAAGTGAGCCAAGGGCAGGGTCAAAGGCTGATTCACTTGACACTTCTTGCTCCCAGCATGGAAGAGAAGGTGCTTGTCAAAAAGATGATAATCAAAACTGAGTCAGGGGCCCTTCCCCTTCCATTTCTCTGAGAAGAAACCTGGAGAGTGGCAGTGGCTGACCCTTTTTGAGGGTCTATTTTTCTTCCTTTCCTCCTGGGAGGGCTGTCTTGGCTGTCCTGCCCAGACTGACTTAGTCAGGAGACCCCAGCCACCTACCAGGCAGCCTTCCCAGCCCCGGATTCATAATGCCCAATGTTTGTGCAGCATTCCTTCACTGACTAAGCACTTTCCCATACATCATCTCACACACAGGTCACCCATATGTCCACTGAGATCACACCAAAATCTGAACAAGCCCCCTGACAGCAAGACCACAGATAACTAGGCTGGGGCTAAAAGAAACCAAGCAACCAATGCCTTGGCAAAATAATTAAATGGGCCTTGAATCATCAGGGCTGATGGTGAAGGGGACTGAGGTGAGGGTCCCAAAGCCACAGCTTTGGACTTTATGCCCACAAGGAACCACGTGGGCATCCTGGGAAGGTTGCCAGTGTCCTGCTGAGTCAGCCTCTCCCAGGGTGGGCCGGCCCAACGGGCTCCAGATGAAGGGTGTGTGCCAGAGGCTGGTAGGGTCTGGAGGACCTGACAGGTGGCACAGCCCTGACCGGCTGAGCTGCCTGCCGCTCTAGCATGAAATTGAACAATTGTCTGTGGAGCAGGACCCTGAGCCCCCTGCTCACGGCCACTCAAGCATGCCCATTGTCATTAGGAGCTGCCCAAGGGTGACAGCAGCACCTCAGCTCCAATCAGGAGGGGCACCAAGTGGGGGGACAGGATGTGGAAGAGCTCCCCAGCGAGCCGCCAGGAGGGCACTTGGAGGTCAGCTGTTACTGAGCAGGGGAGCCCACAAGGGAAGGGGAGGGAGGCAGAAAGAGAAGGAAGGGGACTTCCCCAACAGGGACAGGCACATGCACTTCTGCAATGGGCACCCAGGAGGGACCTGAACCCCTACCAGGCTGGGGCCTGCTCAAGCCTGCATCCTGGCTATGGATGTGCACTCCTGACCCTACGAGCCTCCTGCTCCCTCAGACAGGTGTCTCATGGCCCCACACATGGCTAGGACCTGCTCCCCCTGCACCTGTGCCGAGGCAGTGCCCCATTGCCTGCTCTTCAGACTGCACAGCCCGCAGGGCAGTATAATACTGTGATGTAACAGGCTTTTGCACTTGCAAGATGAATGCCTAAATGAAGGAACTGGTGAAAAATGACCCTCTGGCAGCTCCCTGCTGCTTCTCAGGGTCCCTGATGGAAAGGGAAGCCCCTCCCCCCACAGCCCCAGTTGAGTCATTTCCCACACCACTTCCGGCACCACGGTGCTTCCCCCATCCCTCAGCCACACCCCCTCACCTGGACAGACGTGCAGGTGGTGATGACGCTGGTCCCCAGGCCGGTGCTGTCACTGAGGTCATCTGGCAAAGAAGGCGTCTTCTCCACCCGAGGGGTCTGGGTGGCCTGGAATGAGGGCCCTTTAGGGGACACATTCACATCCGTGCCGTTGCCAAAGGCCTGGATGGCGTTCCCTGGGATGGGGGTGAGGGTAGATGCAGAGAAGTCAGGACCCACATCCATCACTCCTGGCTCTGCTCCTCACCCTCCTCACCCTGACCATCCCCTTCCCTGGAATAGCCCAGAAGCCAGGACAGAGCGCAGCACAGCCAGATTCCCTCTGCTGAACCTCTTTTTCAGATACCTACAAAGGTCTCATGCCTACAGAATATAGCAAGAGGGAGGTTAAAAAAGAGAAGCCAGAATAGCAAGAAGTGTACATGATGGAGAACACAGAAGAGAAAAGGAGAAAAGGAAGGGGGTGGGCACAGGGGAGCCTTGGGGAGGAGGGGTCACCTCCTCTGCATGGTGCCACCAGCCACGCCTCCAGAAGCTCCTCACCCCCAGCTCCCTAGTCACAGGCTCTTCCGGCCCCTGTGCCTCCTTGGACGTTCCCAGGTCCCCACCCTGGCACACAAGGGCCCCACACTCAGCCCTCTGCCTGCTCCACACCACACAGACTCTCCCTGGGTGGCCTCTGCTCCTCCCGCACCATCCACAGAGGTGCCCAGAAAATCTTCGCCTCCACATGCCACATGCATGTCAAACTTGTCATGTCTAAGCCTGGGCTGGACGTCTCCTCCTGCCCTTGTCAGCGCTACTTTCCCCCGACCCCTCATACTGCAGCCTTGAAGGTGTCATCTCTTACCTACCCAGCTCCCCCATGTCAGATTCCTGAGGGTCACCCATGTTGCCTCCCTGCATACCTGCTGGCAGCTTGCTTAGCCCACCTCCTAAGGATCCCTCCACCCCGTCTCCCATCACTGTTCCCCTCCCATGCTCTGGTCCACAGCCACCATTGTGTGCCCCTGTGAGCGGCTACCGCGGCCTTCTGATGGGCCTCTCTGTGTCAGGTCACCTGTTGGAATCATCTCTCTGACCCCCACTGCCTCATACCACAGGCAGATTTGTTTTCTGGGACGTCAGTCTGATCTCAACATCCCCTACTGACATTCCTTCAAACACTCACACCACCACTGTCACCCCGGCAGGACAAGAAGATCTAAATGCCTCAGGCCTGCAAGGCCCTGAGTGACAAGGATGCTGTCTACCTGTCCAGATAACTCTGTCACTCCGGTCATCTTCAGTGCTATGTAGCAAGGCTAGATGATTGGCAGGACCCTCCACCCGCCATGGTCTTCTGTGGAGCCCTGGACCTCTGCCAGGCACTCCCTAACTCTTCAACTGACCGATGCCTAGCTAACCATTCACGGATACGTTCTCCAAGAAGCCTTCGGGGCCTCTCTCTTCCTGGCTGACTTGGCCCTACCCTGGACTCCTCAAGGTCCCTGTGCAGACCCCTCCCGTAGAGCAGCTCCCCTTGCGCTGGGATCCTGAGTGACCCCTCTCGGTCCACCTCTATCAGCTACCCCCTCCTTAATGACTTGGATCCCTGACTCTCCAGTGCCATACACAGAGGGAGGAACAGATGGATGGGTGCACAGAATAAATAACAGAGGGAAGGAAAGAGGTAAGAAATCTTCAGGTGTGCATGGGCGGCAATGAGTGTTGGGCTGGAAAGATCAAAGGCGGACTGAGCCGGCCTGTGGCTACCTCCCTCTAGCTTTTGGGTTAGGAGTTTGATGATGTGGAATGGAAGTCAATTCCAAGGAGAAACAAGCCTGTTAAAGGGAGATATGACAGACACCAGAGGTCCTCAGGAGAAGGCTCAGTCTCCAAGGGAAACTGGCTGAAGCTGTCCCAATAACAGACCAGACCAGATAGCAGGCTTGACCTAAGTTCAAGGCCTCTGGTGGTAAACTGAAGCGACCTACTGGTGAGAATCTCCAAGAGCTAAAAACCCAAGGTCCTCATGGGCAAGGCCCATGGCAGAGAAGCCTCATGTACATCAGCAGCCATCCCCATGGGAGGAGATGGGAATGGCTAAGAGAGACTCCGCGGCGGTGTGGGGGGAGGGCCTGCTGGGGTTGGGGAGAACATCCCAGAACTTACGGAGACACGGGTTCTCGGTGAAGTCCCGGAGGAACTTCTCACACTCCTCCTCCATGTTCCCGCTGCCACGACAGTTGCACCAGGGGGACACCACGATGCCAGTGGGGCTGGAGTCCACGTAGTTGGGTGTCATGTCAAACCCTGGGCAGGGAGAAAGGTGAGGGAGAGGAGAGGGCTGTGGTGGGGTTTTTCCCTTGGGCCCACAGACTGACCCCAGGCACGTACCCATCCTCTCACCTGGCCCCCAAACACACATCTGACACTAACACATTGCTAACTCTGAGCATGACTATCCCAGTGACCATAGGGTCAGCAGGGACAGAGGGCCACAGCATAGAGGACACTGGGCTCCTCAGCACCAGGAAGGGAGAGAAGAGGCCCCGGAGCCCCTCCCAGAGCATGGGCCCCTGTTTTCTCCTTTCCCGGTGTTCTAAAATCAGAGTGAATGACACACACATCCTGCAATCTGAGCCCAGTGCCAACACTGATCGGCGAGGTGAGCCTGCGCGAGTGACTCAACTTCTCTAGAGCCTCAGTTTCCTCATCTAGGAAATGGAGATGTCACCACCCCACTAGCAAGAGCTGTTGGGAGAATTCAGTGACAGTCCCTGTAAACTGCTCAGGACAGAGCCTGGAATGTCAGAACCGTGCAATGAATTGTTACCTTTGCTTCCTATTTCAAGAGCCTTAGAAGGCCCCTGGGGCCCTCCTCCACCCATGATAAAGAGTGCGGCCCTCCTCTTTGCTACAGAGCTGCCTTCCCACTGGTTTCTCCTCACAGGTCTCTCTGAATCTGCTGCAGAGAAAGCTGGGCTCAGGCTGTCTCCCCCGGCTGGCTCTCGGCTGGGCTGCCCTGCCCTGCTAAGATGGGGACAGCAAGGACAGAGCCCAGGTGTGCAGGAAGAGCTTACCAATCATGCCAGCATAGGAGCCCAGACACGCCTGGTAATTGTCTGCAGGGCAGCTGGTGACCGTGTGGTAGGAGGCTCGACAATTGGCATGGAAGTCGGCCAGCCGGGACCTGGTGTCGGGGAGAAGATGCAATGGTGAAAACGGGTTCAGTCTGGCTGCCTTCTGTCTCCTCTGTCCTGCCAGTGGCATCACCTCCCTGCAGCTTCCCAGGTGGAAGAAGCCAGAAGTGGGGAGGAAGGAAAGTAGGGAAGCCAAGTCTTTGCGGGGACTCAAGCTGTGAGCTCCTTGAGGACAGAGACTTCCCGGAGAGACAGGCTCCTAGGGCGGCTTAAGAAAAACCCAGTGATTGGCTGACAAAAAGGACCCCAACAAGGCACAGAAACAGCCTGCTCTAAATGGCTCTTTTAGGCAAAGGGACACAGGGAGGAGCCTGTGGGTTTGTGGAGAATTCCTGGGGGCCAGGCAGGAAAGCTGGGCTCCACCTTCTGTGGGGCTTGGGCAAGCTCATCAACACGGCACTGCGAAATCCCACCTGCAAAACAGTGAACAGTCCCTTCTCTAGATGCCTCACAGGATCCGTCTGATGGTCAAAGAAGCCAGTGGCCAGGGAGGCGAAAGAGTCTCCCTGGGTGAGACATGCCACAGGCATCCTCCGCTGGTCTCTTCTGTGTTCAGCCAGCGCGAAGTCTCCTCTGCCATCACTCCACCCCTTCCCCAGTCCCCTCTTTCCAAATGCTTCATTGCACGAAGAGCTCCTGATTTTGCCCAGCTGTGTTTCTCCAGTTAGAACACACATTCCCAGAGTGGCAGACTCCATTGATTTCCTCATCCATATCCTCCATAGCAGCACCTCTGGGCAGGGACGAGGTGTAGACAGCCATGCATTCCTTCTGCAAATACACAAGCCCTGCCACGTGGCTAACAGACTAAAGGTGGGTATGTCAAGCATGGATGCAACATCAGAAAGGAAACCCCAGCCAGAACCACTAGGGACCGGGGTAGCATGCCTGGCGGGCCAGGGGCTGGGGCAGTGGGAGGTCACTGCTGCCTTATCTCCCTGGGGGAGTACACTGCAGGCCACAGCAGACCTGAGAGCCCACACACTCCCTGCATGTATTGGGAGCCTCCCACACAACGCCAGTTCCCACCCAGCGCATGGGGAGCCTTGTTTCCCTCCTGCAAGGCCAGTTCTCCCATCCCTGACCTTGGGAGCCTCAGGACCTCGACTGGCCTCACCATCCATGCGGCCTCTCAAATGTCTCCAGCCCCAAAGGCTGGAGAAGGAACAGCAGCATGAATGGGGAGTACATGGCTTCCTGCTGTCTTGCCCTTTGGGGAATCCCAAGTATTTCCCTGACAGTCCACAAAGAGAGCAAGGCCATAGGGAGAGAAGCTGGAGAAGAGGGAAACAGCCAGGAAAGAGAAGATGAAAGCATCCAGACCAAAGTGGAGTTGGCCAGAGGGACTCCTCAGAGAAGAGGGGAGAGGCAGATCCAGCCGCTGGGAGAGGACGGTCATCTGTCATATGGCCATGCTGTCCCTTGCTCACTGGCTGTGTGACCTTGGGCTGGCCTGTCATGTCTTCAGAGCTTAGTGTCCCCAGTGAACAAACCGGGAGAGCCACGCCTGCCAACCTCCCTCCTTGGGCTGCGACAGAGAGCCAAGGAGACAGTGCGTGAGAGCGCTCGGAACGGCAGATGCCCGACGGAGACAGGAGGCGTCATCCTCATCTTCCTTCTCTGCCCAGCGCTGTGCCTGCCACTGTGCACAGCTGAACAGTTTTTCCTGGTGTCTGATACAGAAAGAAAAATAGACCCTCTTATTCAGCAAGGAGTGTCTGGGTCCCACACAGAGCAAGTGAGTGCATCAAGGAGACGGGGCTTCCTCTTGCTCTCCCGTCCTGCAGCATCCCACTGTCCTTCTGCACGCCATGCTGGGGACACAGGAGGACAAACGCTGCCCTCAAAGCAGGGCAGTGCACACAGGGCCCCTTGGCTAGGCCCTGGGGTGACCATGGACAAGAGCACCCTCTCGTTCCTCTGAGGTTATGACCTACTTCTTTGGCCTTGGAGAGCTATTCACAGCAAAGAGAGGGGGAGGACACAGGCCTGAGGCCCACAGACAGCAAAGGGGATGGCAAAGTGAAGAGAAGCAGCCAAGCCTTCTGTTCCTCCATTGCTCCATCCTCAGCATTCAGCAGCCTTGGCAAGAGAAAGTGACAAATGGGGCTATTTAGGAGGACATGGAGTCCAAGCCCAAGGCTCCAGGAGGCCTTGGATTGCTCAAGTTTCTCTCTGCCCCTCCATGCATGATCAAGTCCACAGTAGTGGGCTCCCTCTGCCATCATCAGAGACCACATGGTGTCAATTTCCTTCAAGCCCTGGACACTGTCCCACTCCAACCATGACCCCTCGACCCAGCCCTTCCAGGCACACTTCTCCAAGGCAAATGTTGTCCTTTTCATAATACATGGTAAGCTTGTAGGTGACCTCTGTGTTCTCTCTAGGCCAGATGTCACTTTTCTCTCTAACATCGGGAGGTCACTCGTCTCCTGGACTCCCGTCTTGCTGTGGAGAACAGACTCTTCCTGGATCAGCAGATTGCAGATTCCTGCCTTTTAGAGCTCTCGTAAGAGAGATGGCATAAAAGAAGGCATGAGAGAGAGGAAGAGGAATAGATAGGAAAAAAGCAGAGAGCCAGCAAGAGAACCAAAATGAAGAGGAGCCACATCCATCCTGGCTGAGACCAAGCCAAGTCTGCCAGGTGAGCTCGGGCAGCAGGTGGATCTGTCCAGAAAACACAAACCCTCTCTGGGCTTGTTTCTTTGGCAGCTTTAGCCTGTTCAGTCGCAGGAAAGCAGCAGCAGGAGACAGGGGGAGAGGGATAGAGAGAGACACTTGACCCTCAATTGGATGAAAAGGTTGCCATATTAAACGAAGGACATCTAGGTTCATTTGAATTTCAGACAATGAATATCTTTTGTTAGCATAAGTATGTCCACGTAATATCTGGGAAATACTTGTACTAAACAGTTTTTCTTTTTTATCCAGAATACTTATTTAACTGGGCATCCAATATTTTTGTTTGTTAGATCTGGCAACACTGCTTTTTGGTTTTGTATTTGAGATGGAGTCTTGCTCTGTTGCCCATGCTGGAGTACAGTGGTGCAATCTTGGCTCACTGCAGCCTCCAGCTCTCCATTTCAAGTAGTTCTCAGCGCTCCCCACCCCACCCACCGTAGTTGGGATTACAGGTATGTGCCACCATGGCCGGTTCATTTTTGCATTTTTAGTAGAGACAGGTTTCGCCTTGTTGGCCAAGCTGGTCTCAAACTCCTAACCTCGACTGATCCTCCCACCTCAGCCTCCCAAACTGCTGGGATTACAGGCATGAGTCACCACAGCCAGCCTGGTAACACTATTTGATGAGCACATAAGCCCCCAGCAAAGGAGAAGAGAAAGCAGGGCTGAATGTGCAAAGATCAAATCACACAAGCAGAAGTCATCTAGATTGACGGGGGTACAGGTGGACTTTCTATAGGTCACTGGTTCTCAAAGTGTGGTCCACAGACCAACAGCATCTATATCAACTGGGAACGTATTCGAAATATAGATTCTCTTGCCCCACCCCACCTCTCTGCCTGGCACTGAAAAAGCAATATCTGAAATTCTAAGGGCAGAGCCCAGCAATCTGCACCCTAACGAGCCCTTCCAGTGATTCCGAGGCAGGCTGAAGTTTGAGAACACGGCCACATGGCACAGGTTTCAGAGATGGACTTTAGGTACCTTTCAGACCTCACATCCTAGTTTCAGCTTTAAATATCCTTACTTTATGGCCTAGCCATAAAAGAAAGCAGTGCTTTGGGCCACAGCGGGAGAAGGCTCATGGTTATGTGGCAAAGAGTGCACGTTATAAACACACACACACACACACACACACACACACACTCCTATCCCCACAGACACACCAGTTACACTTGGATCCCTACTTCCCAGTGCTATGCTTTGGTCTTCACCAAGAGGAAATATACAGAAAATTGTTATTAATAAAACCTCCCTTGATCCAGACTGTAAACACCTTCCCAAAAGCATACTTTCCCAAATTTGTCTCATGTAGAATAGTACTGGGGTGAATTATCCTCACGGAACCCTAAAACTTTGCAATGCTGATCAATACGTGGCTTTCTGGTCTGAAATTCTTTGTTGTTGTTGCTGAGACAAGGTCTCGCTCTCTCGCCCAGGCTGGGCAGCGGTGTAATCTTGGCTCAGTGCAACCTCTGCCTCCCAGATTCAAGCGATTCTTGTGCCTCAGCCACCAGAGCAGCTGGGATTACAGGTGTGTGCCACCATGCCTGGCTAAATTTTTTTGTATTTTTAGTAGAGATGGGGTTTCGCCATGTTACCCAGGCTGGTCTCAAATTCCTGGCTTCAAATGATCCACCTACCTCAGCCTCTCAAAGTGCTAGGATTCCAGACCTGAGTGGAGTTCTTGTTTATCAGGTGATACCTGCTATGTTAGTGCCATGGAAACCAGGTTTGTCCTGGTTGCAGATGTGGAAGAGGAGGGAGAAGAAAGGGAGTTGACATTCACTGAGGACCTACGATGTGTCAGGCGCCATTATCTCATTTAATTTTCTGAACAATCCCACGAAGTAGCATAGTTACACAATGAGGACACAGAAGCTCAGAAAGGCTAGATCGCACAGTCACACACCCTGCAGCCAGCACGCCACGGCCAGGTACGGAGGCAGACAGGAACAGGGGCGGCCGCCAGCACTGCCTGACACAAAGGAATGGGACACTTGAATATTTCATGGAGGGAAAAACGAGTTTCCAAGAAGTGCAAATTACTCATGATAGGCTTCATAGACAATTTATGGAAATGCTGAAAAAATGGCCTTAATAGACCCAAGTGCCTCTGGAATGGCTTTCTGACGTCCCCTCTGGCAGTGCAGGCTTGGTGAAGTGGGCTCAATGCGGTGTGACACTAAGAAAAGGGAAAATGAATGTCACCCACACGGCTGCTTTCTGACCCCTCCAGGCTCACTGTGGACAACCTGATCCTCCATCCTCTCCAGCATCCTCTCGCCACCACTGGTTTCACGAAGTC